TCCAAACGTTTCAGCCGGAGCCTCTTTGTTCCGCTTCGCATTGAATCAGCGCTTTCGCCAGACCAGCTTCCTGCATCCAGAATCGAGTAGCGATGTCGTGTGTGCAGGTGACCGTATATCCTCACTCTGTCCAGACCTTTGACTGGCATCGCTCCGTGATAACCGCATCCAGCCACCTCCACTGCGTCGTCACTGAGGTGTATACTTTGCTTACTCTGCCCTCAAAGACCCAAGGGAAAACAGAGGACGACAAGCCCCTTCATAAACATGGTGTTGATTGTTTAGAGTTGGCAGGAACAGCTGACGCTTCTTATGGCTCCTGGAGCGCGAAGGAAAGAGGTCTCTCAGGACGAGTCCGCCACTAAGTTGTAAGTTGTACCAGTTGCAAAGGCTGCCATGGACCAGTATAAGTTGACAAGGCACACCGAGAGATGCAATGCGCTGATGGATTTTGTGACGACTATCAACGACGAGGACTATTGGCAGCGAATGACATCCCTTCGAAGTTGACGTCGGCAATCGTCCGTGCAGTGTAGCAAGTGTTGCTTGAGACTGCTTTTGAAAGTTTCACAATTCTGAACGAGTGCTTGATGCCCCCTCAACGATGCAGGAGGGAAGAAGCAGCAGCAGAGGCAAACGAGCAGAGCAGCAGAGCAACCCTTCGTATGATATGACATGACATGATATGACATGACATGGTATGGCATGCTATGATTTGCAAGGATATGATCTGATTTTATGTGTCACGACATGATATGACATGTGTTGTTGAAATTTGGCAACCTGTCATGACACGACATGATACAGCATGGTATGACATGATATGACATGATATGGGTTCCCCCCACTTCCTCCCGAGGCGGAGGTCTTCAAAAGCCGGACATCATTACTCGCCCTCCGCGAAAACAAGCAAAAAGCAGGCATGTGCAAACATCACCACGAACGACTGCAACATCAAGCCTAGAGCAGGTCGAAGGAGCAAGCATCATCACGGAGAACTGCGACATCAAAAGCAGCAGGGTGAAGGTGCATGGCAGCATCGACATGAGGAAAGTCACAAGCCACCATCTTCAATACCAGAACGTCATTACCCCCCACCTCCCACCTGGTAAAAGTAAGACACGAGTAGGTGCTGCTATTCCCCTCGTGCGGAAACAACGACAAAGCACAGCACGGCTGTCTTGGGAGGACGTGGTTGCCATTGAAAATCTGCAAGTCGGACTTGGCAACCTTGACAGCCAAGGCCATCAGGGCTCTGGCGAGAGGGTTGTTGCCTTCCCGTGTTCTCCTCCAGGTATGCATGGAGAGTTCTTGCCGAAGTACGACTGGCCCGTGCATAGATTTCAAAACATGGTGCGCCATTCCTTTCGTGGAGATATTGAGGCTTTTGCTGTCTGGACTGTGGCTGGCAGGTGCTGAGTGGTCTCCGCGGCTCTCGTTTAGAAGAGGCCTAGTTGGAGTTTCGTACGCTGTCGGCAACAATTCCAGACCGGTCTGTGGAATCAGGATTTCATGCCGAAGTTGACCGACAGCTTTGAGCGCAAGGCTGCCGAATCTTACTGTATCTGCCGTACGCAAGCTTGTGTCACGAGTTCGCCAGCGTTTAGACTCGGAGTGTAGTTTGACTTCAGGTGCTTGCTGGATGATCTGCTATGTCACCGGCCAGAGTCATTCGAACTTAGGAGTCTCCCGGGCGGGCTGCCGTGCTCGAAATCAGTTTCGCACTGGCCAGAAAAAGGTGCCAGCAGGCAAACCTGCCCGGAGGCTGTCCGTCACCCTAGCTGCTGGTAGTTTTTGAAGTAGTGTAATTCAATCTGCTGCAACATTCAAATTCAGTCGCACAAGAGGTGTCCATGCATGGACCCCGTCTTCTTCCATTGACAGCATGCAACAGTAGGATGCACGCGCTTGTACATTCTGTACACACATCTTCGTGAGGTCAGGGTGTTCTGCCTTTTGGGCTTTCCCTGCGCCTGAGTTCCTACATGTATAAGAACATGCTCAGCCTGCAGGCGGCTTACATGCAGGCTGCATGTTCTGCTTCGATTTCGAATTCGAGCAAGCCTAGCAGTGCGCAGCTTTGAGAAAGCTGACGTAGCTGACTTGGCAGCAACGTGCAACTGCAAACTACTCTAGGTCTTTTGCGTGTGGCTAGGTGTGTGGCTGGACAGCTGGAGTTTCATGCGCAAGCCAGGAAGCTGTTTCAAGAGCTTCCAGGCTGTACAGTACGTGGAAGGTGTGATCGAGTCTTTTCACTACTGTCTATGGCCAGTTCAGGTTCCATAATGTTGCAGAGAGCTTGTCGGCTGACTGGGTTTCCAGAGTTGGACCAGCAGTTCAAGATGTATTTGTTTCTTCAGGTGTTTCATAAATGGAGAACAGAAAGGAGTTTCCAGCATCCAGCAGGAGCATTTCTTGACAAGACACTAGTGCCCTTCCGAGGGGGATTTTTCAGAAAGAGAATGCTTGGCTGTGGCTGTCCGTTGATGTGCCGAGACTTTTCGAAGGAAAGGAAGGCAGTCCTGGACCTGCTCTCGAGCTCCGCTCTCCGAAGCTGCTTTTTCTTTCAGGGCCACAGACGAGGGTAGCGCTTCCCCCTATGTGGTGTCCTGGCTTGGGGGCCCGTGGGCTCTTGTATGCAGGGCGCTTAATCTTGAGCCGTCTCTGCACCCCGGCAAATCAAATCCGAGTCTCCTTCGACTTCTGCTAGGCACTGCTCTGTCTTTGTCTTGCGGCTGAGCCACTTCACGGCGAGGCTCAAGCGGGCAGGCAAGCTCATGACCCTGCTAGCGCAGCAGTTCATTTCGTCTCTGCCTGAATTTTTCTTCAGGCCCGATCGGCAACTGCAGGTCTCAACGGCCGTGCACTCAGGGGAATTCAGGGATGTTTGTGAAGCTCCGGAGCCTCGCACTGCTCGAGGCAAATGCATCGCTTTCACAGGCCGAGCTGGAACGCAAGGAAGCGCCTCGGCAAGTTTCGGGCCTGGGCCTATTGGGAGGCCCCTTTTTAGACTGCACTCAGCTGCTCTGTCTACCTTCCGCACCGCTTAGGTGGAGCGGGAGGACGGGCGTGCATTCAAAAAGTCACAATACCAAGTGAGTGATGTGGATGTGGTGACACGTTCGAAACAGGATCAGCTTAGCAATCATCAAGCGTATGCTGTTGAAGCAAGCCCTCAGTGGCATGAGACGTTCTCTTGGTCATCCCCGCGACCTTGAAAGGAGTTTTCGAGTGAAGGCGAGGGGGTCGCCTACACACTGCTTTCTGCGGTGACATTCGTCGGTGTGCTACTTGACTGAGCGGTCTACCTTTCAGCGTACAGCTCTGCAGTCAGTCGAGCTGCTGCAATGCAGCCGAGGACCCTTTACGTTGTCAGCTGGCCAGATGATGGTGTTAGGTACTACGGCTGGATTGTCATTGGTGCCCCAGCAGAAATTCAACGGCACAATTCATGAAACTCAGAAGTTTCCGGTGCGGCCTCAACAATCCTTCCAGGAACAGCAATGTCGATTCTGGCGTCCTTGCTCTTCTTCCACAAGACCGCGAGAAGTCTAGAAAGCCTTGTCTTCCCAAGTGAAGCAAGCGTGGGTTACATGGCTGCATTCCTTCCTGTTCGTCGAATCTAGCCGCAACGGCTTGCGGCTCGTGGCATGGTGAGTGTTTTTGCTCAGGTTTCAGGTGTGCCTTCTACTATGGCCTGTCGCTCGATGCATTTGTCCTAGACGAAAGGTGGGTTACAAGAGCGTAAGGAGCCGATTTTGTGAAAAGAGGTGAACATGCCCAGGTTTCTGGTGTTCTTCGTTGCCATGCAACTGGCAGTAGGCACATCGGCATGAAGGCTCACTGTGTGTTATGGCCGTCCGACAGATGTTGGAAGGCTTCTCTGCCGGCTTGCTATGTGCCGACATAGACCACGATGACGTGGAGTTTGCGACATGTCTCCAGAAGAGGGGTTCTCTGGAGAAGCACTGTCAAGTGCGCGAGCCTGCTTCACTGTCAGAAAGTCAGGAAGATTGGGTGATTGACGATCCAGTGACGGCTAGCCACAAGGCGTCTTCTTACGGAGGTTATGAGTATTCTGAGTAGCTTTCCTCGGTTGAGGCAACCTTTTTGGCGGCCCCCGTTCTTTTTGCCTCCTGCGAGGACATAGTCGATCCCGCTTGCATCGTCTACAAGCGCTTCCTGCCTTCAGTCAGGGGTGTAACGTTTCTGTCTGGGACAAAGCGGCAGCTTTCGAAAGGCTGAGTCTCGACCAAGGATGGGGCCGTGCTATCGGAACGGACGAAGACAGACATCCGGTTTTTCTAAGGCAGGGCCGAGTTGAATCAAATCTGGCTGGACATCCAACCAATAAAATGCCTGTCCCGCTGCACGCAGGCATCGGAATTTGACGCTGGAGAAGATAGAGCTTCGCAGCTGGACAGTGCAAGTCTACTTTCCGTTGCTTTTCGTTTTGACTTAGCAATCAAGAAAGCTTGAGCTGGTACTGAAGGAGTAGCGATCAAAGCACTAAATTGAACAGTGAATCAGCCACTGCATTCCACTGCTGCTGCACATGCGCGCTTCTCTGAGGCCTGAAGACCATAGCAGCTTTTCTGTCACACGTGACGGCATTCGCAGGAATACGTGCAGGTGTGCCTTGACAGGAAGCAGTATTGCGACAGCGTTGTGCAATCGATGTTGCCAACAACATCCCTATCCTTTCGTTTGTTCTACTGCTTCTTGCTGGATGGCAGAAACTCACCATGGACAAAGGTCATGTTGCAGCACTTTCCTTTCTTCAAGCAGAATGCTTTCTGTAGTCTGTGTCTTGGAAGCAGAAGGACAGACGAGTGCGTTGGTGACTTCTTTCGCATGATTACAAGACTCAAGACCGTGTCGTCACGAGGCTGTCAGTGGTCGTTCACGTTGCCTTTCTCTTCCTCCTCTTTCGTGCTCTCGAGCCGCCCATCCTGCAGAAATATTTTTGCGATGCTTGTTTCGGATCCCTCTGCAACAGGATGGTTCGCTGTGGCGGGAAGCCAGAAAAGTTAGTCGATCTGTACTTCGACGAAGTGGATGATGTTGAAGTGGACGAGCCCTGCCACATTTCAGCCGTGGATGCAAAGCCGGCTTCCATGCCAATTGCATCTTTCGTTGCCGTTTGAGGTGCTTTCGCTCTCATGCTCCTACATGCTCGTCTTGTGCCTGGGGTATGCGGTGACAGGTGCACCCAGTGATTTTGAAGGCCTCGACAAGGAAGATGCGGTAAAGCTTGCGGCATCCCTGGCAGCTGGCATTTTGCAGGCTTCCAGTTGCCTTCCACGGTGGACCTCAAGAAAGCGGCGATTATCTTCGTCTTAGGCGGTCTGCTCTTCGTGCCTGGGATGCGCCTCTTTTTGGACCTTCCTCGAAGTGTGATGTTTTATTTTTTCTTTGCTGCTCTTTGTGGCTTCTCTGAGGCGGGCTCCGTGGCTTTGGTTTTCTTCTGGCGGCCACGCTACAGCGAGCAGTCCTGGCGGGCGAAGGCGCTGGAGCAGAACGCCTTTGGCCACGCTTTGTGGGGTCATATCTTTTGCACTGCCATTCAGGTCCGTGATATGGTCTTGTGTACACTGGCGATGGCCTTCGGCTGGTGCATCATTCATGCTGTGCGCTGGACCAATACTGACCTGAGCAAGGCTCTTCTTTGCCTGATGCATAGCAGCTCGCATGATGACATAGTTGGCATTTGTTACAAAGTCATGTGAGTTGGTCTGTGGACTGCCCTCAGCACCACGTGATTGGGTTCCTGCCTGGATCTATGATTCTGCACGTGATCACAGCAACTTGGAAGCAGGATTGTAGGCTTTTACCACCGCTTCATGTCATCTCGGACTACCTAAATGCCGTGAAGTATTGAGTATGAGTTCTTGTCGTGGTCGACACATACTGTAGGCCTTGTTGACAGAATGTTCAACTGGCGAATCAATGACGAGCGGTTTATGTTTTCGTCGCTGTCTCAACAGCTCGATATGGAATCCGGAGCAGTTCATCTGCAAACTGTGCGCGGCCAGCCTCGAGCTTCTGGAGGGGCCTCGGATATTCCCAGTTCACTTTCAAGAATAAAACACAGAAGCCCATACCAGTTCAAGACAAAGCATAGTCAGCTACGACTGCCCCAAACTCTGCGAAGACGTGATGCTTCAACTCACTTGACTGCAAGTGCAGGGTCCCGGCGTGATATTGCTAGCAATGTATCTCTCGATTTGCGTAAGTGCCGGGCTCTAGAGAGCCTTGGTCGACAACCATAGCAAGTGAGTCACGCTGTAAGGCTTTCGTCATGTCCCTGCTCGGCTACGTTGTCGTGCTGTTCTTGGACAAGCTTGAAGACTTGTGTTGCGGACCTAGCCAAACAGCCGCCAGCGGCAGTTTCTTGCTTTCCATCAACACGCAGGGAAGCAGGGTCTGTCAAGCTTAGACAGCTCAAGTCGGGTCCATGTTTGTGTCCTGCATATCGTCCAGGTCTGACTCGTTTCGGATCGCTTGGCCGATCTTTCAAGCAAGGATCCCAGCCATCTCGGACAATTCTTGTGCTTCGTGTCCCGTCCTGCCTGTAGTGCAGCTTTTCAAAAGGAGTGCCGTCACAGCTACCGGCCTCATTATTGGCATTTCCTGGGAGACGTGCTTCGACAAAGCAGTGTCGATCGTCGCGCATGGGCCGTTTCCTCAAAAAGATACTGTGCATGTCCAAACAGAGAGATGATGTCCTGTGTCCGGGTGTCCGGAGGCAGCGTGAGAAGGAAGTCGTGGAGCCGCTGCTGGTCGTGGTCCTTCTGCTCCTGTTGGTGCCTGCCTGGAAGAGGCAGTCTTAGGAATCTCTGGCCGTCCTCTTGCATGGGCAGATGTTGCTAGGTTTGTCATCACCAAGCAGCTGCACTTCGAATCTTTCAAGTTCGAGCGCAGGAGCCTGTCTCCCAGAGACTTCCTGCTGATTGGTGTTGCGCTTTACAGGCTGCTTCGTGGCACTGAAGGCCAGTCATATCTCAAGAAGGACAATGACACTCTGCTGCCACAGCCACTGGTCTTGATGAGAACACATCATAACTCTATTTGCAGATTTCGACTAACCCATTTACGCTTTCCATCCGTGCGACACATGTCGGATACGGCAAGCAACAAGTCAGTCTACATGCACGTGCATTCTAAGCAAGATGGCGTCAAGTTCGAAATCTCGCCAAGCATATTTGGGACAACGATGCAAGGCTTCGTACTCCATGGTGTTAGAGCAAGCATATGTCAAAGGTTCTCTGTCGGGAACCACACTCTATCGAGCCAGACAGCTAAGAGTTCGATTTGAAAGCGTTTTCCAAGACCAGATGCTTCAGGTCATCCAAAGAGGTGAGAGCCGGCTGCATGGGATAGTGGATGCCATCTGAATCTGGGGAGACAGTGATCAAATTTCAGCTTCATTCCCATCCTTCAGTACAGATTTTGGTGCCAAAGACGCTCCAAATTAGTTCATGTAGCCAAATGCACTTGAAGCTCGCGAGCCGGATGAACTTGAATCGGGCTTCGCGATGCTTTTAGCACCATGCCTCCTCCCAAGATAGGTTTCTTTGTGCTGAACACGACAGGCGTCCCTTGGGAAAAAGCAAGCACGCACGCAGGGGCAGAAAGCGATGGGTATTCGCCGCACCTTCTGATTGCAAGAGGCATCGCTTCAGCGGGGAGCCCATGGCTCTGTAGTTCCTTCAGTTGCATGTAACGCAGTAAGATATGTCATGTCATTGAAGGTTGAAGGAATGGGACCGTGTGTTCAGACCGCAGACCATGTTGATTCAAAGTAAAGATTTAGGACGCTGTAGCCCACATGGCTGCGGCAGCCGCAGCTGCGGCTGCATCCAAATACACCGGCAGGCCGGGTCCACTCCTGGCAGAGAAGCGTGATGCGTTCGGTTGGTGAAGGTGTAGAAGAGATGAGAATTCCACGAACTGTGAGGTATGCACTGCACCCACTTCTTCCAGGAGCTGCTCAGGCTGTGGCTGATGCTCCCTCCCTACACTAGCAGGGAGAAGTTCGACAAGGACTGCTAAGGCATGAGGCGCAAGATGGTGCACGCTGGACTGAGGCCTGTGTTGGCAAGTTGCATCCGTCCTGGACCGGCAGTGCGCAATCCCTGCTGGCTTCCAAGTTCCACTTTGGGGGGCACTTCCGAGAGATGCAGATCCAAGTCTCTGCCCAGGTTTGGCACTTGGGAGCCTCGCTGGCATGTTTCAGCGTCGCTGGTCAGCTTCTTGAGGGAGAGACTGGTGTCCTGACGGAGTCGGCAGGAAGCTGGCTGTTTGCCTGCCACGTTACGCTGCCTTCATCGTGGCTTGCCTAGACTGCGCTGCTCTGCTGCCGAGCTGCCCTCGGGTTCCGCTGCAGGACAAGTGCAACCGCAAAGACCTTAAGCGGCGGCAGACTTGGATCTCTGACTGTGAATCACTGGGAGCCGGAGCTTCGTGGTAAGGCCGCACGTTTTCATGAACGAAAAGGCGCAAGCTGCACTGGGGGAGTCCCGAACTCAGCGCACGACTCCAGGTGGTGTCTTTATGTCAGGCATTACTGCAGGCCTAGAGAAGAAGCAGCTCTAAGTGTAAGCATATCGTAGAAGTCTTGTGTTCATGTGTTCACATAGAACCAGTGAGAAGTGGGACCTAGTCACGGGCTTGAGACCGTTAAGAGTCGAGTTGACGAGCAGTCTTTGGAATCTGACAAGGGCAGCGTCATTCTGCGCGGGGTACCACGTTCAGGAATGCACTTACTTCGACACGAGAAGCCTGTGTTTTTTTGGATTCAGGGCTCGCCGGAGCCGCGTGTGCCTCCGTCCCTGTCGCCAAGACGTTTGGGTTACAGACAAATTTGCGATTTGGAGAGAGATTGATGTGCAGTGGCGCTACAGAATCACAGTATCACCATATTACCAAGTAGCAGCTGTTCACCGCAAGCAGCTGTTGGGAGCCTCCAGCTTGAAAGTGATAGTCCAGAGTCCAGATGGAGGTTTCTGTTCAGAGTTGGTACATGGTCATCGAGTCGGCTTGAGTCACATGTGAGTGAAAAGTCAGAAAAGAGGAGCCGTAGTTTCACGCCATCATGCAGTGACAATGAGTTGCACCAAGTGCCACAGCTCGCCGTGAGCTCAGTGATCGCGATGGCATCGCCTACTCCACTGCTGCTGGCGGCCGCCGGCGGCTTCCTGTGGGCGTTTGGCATTCTGGGCAAGCGCTTGGGTGTCGAAGGTGCCAGCAATGGCACCAAAGCAGTACGCCTCCTGGATGTGCAGTTTTGTCTGCTTCTGATCTCGCTAGTTGACTGGGCTTGTCTTCCGTCAGATATTGGGATCGTAGGAACAGGCTTTCTTGCAACGGGGCCTGCAGAAGCAACTAGATTAGACCCGAGCGGTGCTAGTTTCGAGAGCGAGGGTTCCGAGGCGCAGCAATTACAATCTTCGTCTACACACTGACCACGGTGGTTTCTCCGTCTGTGGATTTGTTTAGGATGGGCGGCGAGGGCTGGTCCAGGACTTGGAACAATCCGGACTGGAACCATCGCCTGCCCTGGATCTTCGGTTGTGGCCTCATCAGTGGTGCGGGTGGGTTGCTAGGAACCGTGGCTTTCGCCTGGTCTGCTGGATCCTCTAGTGCTCTCATCTCGATGATAGAGAACGGCACCTATACTATGTCCAGCGCTTTGATAATCGCCCTATACTTTCAGGAACACCTGAAGCCCCAGACCTACGTCGGCTTTGTATTCATCCTGGCCGGCGTTGTTCTCGCCCAGAGGTCCTCTCGGCAGAGAGAGCCGGTCCCGCTCTGTGACGACACAGAGGAGTCAGAGTCCGATGAAGAGATGGAAAAAAAGGTGGATGATGGCTTGGACAGCGAGGATGACAACTCCACTGTGGCCCCATCTTCCCTTCGTATGAGGGCCGTCTTTCTGTCGGTTGCAGCAGGCACCTGCTGGGGCTTCGGGCCTCTGGGGAAGAAGATTGGAGTACATGGCAGCAGCGATGCTGAGCAGCATGAATGGACGACATGTACTTACTTTGTTTACATGGTGGCGACAACCGTCGTTCCTCTGGGTCGTGTTCTAGCGAGTGACAGTGCCAGCCGGCGGATGGTCCTTCGGGACAGAAGGTTCCGCTACCTGTTGCTTGGCACCATGCTTTGTGGACTCATTTCCGGCTGTGGCGGCCTTATAAGTACCTTCGCCTTCTCCTTAGAAGGTTACTTCTCAGGGGCTCTAATCGCCACTGTGGAGAATGGCGTCTACACCGTGTTTGGGGCTTTGCTGATCGCCGTGTTGTTTGAGGAGGAACTAGGCACGCAGCAGCTTCTCAGCGCCTGTTCTGTCGTTCTGGCTATCTTCATTTTCGGCATGGACTTCAGGTGGATGGCAAGCCACCTGGGCTTCGGCTAGGGTGCATAGAGGTAAGAAAATTCACCTTTTCAACGTGTACCCAAAGCGCAGACACAAAAAGCAGACGCCTGCGCTTCTCCGGGGACGGGGAGTGTTTCCACTTCGACCCGGCCTTTTGCGAGGTTTTACCTTTGCTGCGCACTGCGCATGAGAGAGAAGGAGGTGGAAGAAGCCGGACAGGACACTGAAAGCTGCAGACTCAGCAACGGGAACCCTGTCTCTCATCATTGGTTGGCCAGGACTCGGAGAAGTTGTTGGCCTTGGCAAGTGAGGCCTGGCGAGGGTGTCGCGCACTTCAGGTGCTTTTTCCTTTTTTTCCGAGGTTGCACAGCAGGACGTCGAGCCCTTCTTCCAGGAGTTTTTCGAAAGTACGAGAAGGGCCGTGGCCTGTACTTCGTCCCCGCAGGAGTGCCGGGATTTCGTGTCTAACTACAATGAGGCGCCTCTTCTTTGAGATGCGAAGAATGTCAAGGGCCGCATCTTGCAGTTCATGCGAGGCGCTGCACAGGCGCCTGGACGACACAACGATCTGGCGAGAGGTCGCGAAACTTTCCTCCCATGCATCCCTGACTGTGACTGGAAGCATTCATGAGCACACGGACGATGGCGAGAGTAATGCAGGTGGAAGACGGACTGTTTTGGCATCATAGCTTCGAAGTTGTAGCCGACGAGGTGCGGTCTCTTCCTATTCCAGTGAGCAATCGAGACGATCACGCATGTTGATGGCAGACTTGTGGCAACAGCAGCAGGCTTATGCCGCTCTTCGCCGAGAAGCATTACCTGCTGAGGTGCCACAGATTTGCTTCGAAATCATTCCATGACTTCTGGCCGTCTTGACATTGACGCAGGCAGACTGGCCAGAAGGAGGGGACTCGACCTCCATTGCAGCTGTGCGGCTGTCTCAGGGTGCTGGCAGCGCTTCTGTACTTCTCGGGGATCACATGAATTCTATACACGGCATGTAAGCCCAACAGGACATGCGCAGAATCCTACCTATGGTCCTCGATGCACCTTCTTGCAAAAGCCACTCGCAGAGGTTTGAGGCACCCTTGTCGATTCGCCTGCGTCCGCGATGACATGATTTCTTTTACCTCACCTGCTTCCCATCTCTCTTGCGTCAGCATATAAGACCGAGACCATTCTGCAGACGTCCCGCTTGTTCAGTCGGATACCATAACTGCGTGTGTTGTTGCAGCTGTCGCTACAAGGTGCTTCTGTGTTTTAATGCGCAGACAAGCAGCACGTCTTAGCTGCTCTTCACACCCCCAAGTTAGGCATGCGGCGTGCGTAGCTGCGTGGGCATGTTGCTTGGTGCTTCCCAGGCTGGAGTCTTTCAGCGCAGCAGTTAGAGAAGGTGGGCCATCCCGCAAGAAGGCGGAGGCACATGGGCAGCCAAGAAATGAAAGTGTTGTATATCGAGTTCTGTTACGTTTGCACATCGTGATTGTTTGCAGCGTTTTTGTGCCCAGAGATGGAAATTCAGTCACGGCCATATCCGGCGAGCCAGCCCAGCAGCATGAACGGAATGATTCAGCTTTCCCCGACGCAGCAGAAGGCGTTTGATCTCCTTGTGGGTGCCATCAAGACAAAGGCCGCACCTCTCGTGGAGTTGCGCTCGCCGCCAGCTCTCGGACGCGGCTATGGCGTGACCTCGATACTCAGGTCAGCAGCAACTCAGTTCGGAGTGCCTTCTCTTGGAGTGTCGACTGCTCTAGCGCACGAAGCAGGGGAGGGTCAGGCACTGAAAGCACTCTATGCAGCTGCCATAGCATCTCTGGAGAAACACGGCCTCGCTGTGATAGATGACCTCGATCTTGCGGTCGCTCCTCGCTCAGTGCGTCGCTCTCGCACATTGATTGGAGACATCAAGGGTGCCGGTGATCTCTACAACTGGGAAGTGGCGCCATCGCCGGCCATGCTCATCAAATCTCTGAGCGATGCAGCAGCTTCTGCCCACGGCATCATAGTTTTCTCCTCCGTCGAAGATGCGCACCTAGCCTTTATCAACACGCCTTTAGTCGTGACATTGGGAGAGTCGACAGTGGAAGACTACGGCGCGATCTTGAAGAATGTGCTGAGAGAGGGGTCCGTGGACTCTGAGGCCATCTATTCGTTGCACTCCCAGCTGTCACCTGCGGACTTGAAAGCGGCTACAGCTCGTGTTCTGGCCAAGCAGAGCAGTGTCAGCACTGAAGCTCTTGTCAGCTCCATCAGGGATGAGCTGGTTTCTGTGTCGGCAGTTGCGCCGGAGGAGGTCGAGCCAGTCGACCTGGCAGAATACCCCGGTCTGGAAGGTATCAAGGAGGAGTTGGAGCGAAACGTGCTGTTCCCTCTGGAGAATCCTGAGCAGGCGAAGAAGTTTGGCCTCACCCCGAAGCGTGGAGTATTGCTACATGGCCAGCCTGGTACAGGCAAGACCACTGTAGGGCGCTGGCTGGCTAACAGGCTAAAAGGCAAATTCTTCCTGGTCCGTGAGATGATGCTACACGCTGACATTATCAAAGTCTTTGCAGCTGCACAGGCTGCTGCACCTTCCGTCGTCTTCATCGATGATGCAGACATTGTGATTGGAGGCTGGCGGCCACTTGATGGGCACCGAGGCTCCGACATCTTCCGATTTCTGCTGGGGCGCATGGATGGCTTGACATCCCGCGGCAAGAGGCAGCGAGAGACCGGTGATGTCGTGGTGGTTCTCACAGGGCAGAATGTCCACTGGATGGCCGAGATGCTGCTGAGGAGCGGCCGCATCGAGCTTTGGCTCAAGACCAAGCTGCCTGAGCCCCGGCAGAAGCACGCGATCCTGCGCAAGTACATCAAAGACGACCCCGGTGCCACGGAGCTGCTCTGCAAAAATGGTGAGATGCCTGATGTCAAGGCTGCCGCCCAAGCTAGTGACCATTTCTGCTGTGCAGATCTGCGCAGAGTCGTGAGCGATGCCAAGATGCTGGCTGCATGGGATCGCAACAGCGATGCCAAGATCTTGGACGGGTCGACTTACCTGGAGAAAGCAGCCGAGGGAGTCCGCCGCATGCAAGACGAGGTCAAATCATCCGCCCGGAACTTGTATGGCTGAGTCTGAAGACCAGCAAGCAATTCGATCAATTCGTTTTGGGATTGTGTCTACTCCCTGCAGAAGTTGTGGAGATAGTGCAGTCCGCGATGTAGATGGGCTGACCAGTGGCATTCCTTCGTTGAATCAAGTTTTCTTGGACGGCCATTGCACAGCAGCCGCTACAGCCCACACAGGAGGCGCAGGACACAGCACAGATTATGCTGCAAAAAATGTGGAGATGATCCAGTGCTACAGCCGATGCAAGGTTCCTTCTTACGCAGGCTTTTAAGTCCTGTCTTCTCGGAGGTGATCTACCAAGCATTCCTGGAGGCAAGTGCCATGCCCGTGCCTGGTGCCCAGGTGCCCTTCATTGCCCTTCAAATGAGCGTCCCCCATATTCCCATGCCAACTAAGGAAATGCTCCCTGCGCACGGCGCTCATCGATCACGGCTTGGGGCTCGGTTGATGTCCAGGTCACCTCAGCACTCCGCTGGCCTTGGTCTTTCAAGGCATTCTTTACGGCGAGGCGAGGCCTTCCTTGTCGTGTCGAAGCTTTCTGATGTGGCTCCCTCCGCTTGAGGGGCAGAGTACCAGGTGCGTTACCGTGGCCGTCAACCGTCCGACGCTCCTGAATAGAGTCTCACTCATTTTTCGCTCGAACATGAGCTCGAAGCCTGATGCCTGCACCTCTGTGATCAAACGTTGATAAGTTGTGGCGTTACAGTTTAAGCATCTTGTCGAAGATGCAAAGCACGAGAGGTGTGCAACTCTCACTGCCGAAATTGCCATCTGGCTCGGTCTCAGTTACTCTTGTTGTCTTTCTCGTCGCAACGACTTTGAAACATGTCGGTGAAGCCAATCCGAGAGCATGCAGGGAAGGCCCTTCTGGAGAAGTACTTGCCAGAGGTCTCCGGCGGCAAGCACAAGATGGGGTGCGCAGGTGTTTTGGTGACTCCCGCGGTGCTTGACAGCACTGGGAGCCAGACCTGGGACAGCATTCTGCAGGCGAACCCATGGCTGAAGACCACCAACTTGGTGGCCAAGCCGGACCAGCTCATCAAGCGCCGTGGCAAAGCAGGCCTGATCGCTGTGAACAAAACCTTCGACGAGGCCAAGCAGTGGGTGATGGATCGTATGTGCAAGGAGCAGCAGGTGGAGCACGTCACCGGGCAGTTGAACCACTTCTTGGTCGAGCCTTTCGTGCCCCACAAGCAGGAGCAGGAGCACTACATCTGCATGCTGTCCCACCGTTATCACGACGAGATCCTCTTCTATCACGAGGGCGGTGTTGACGTGGGTGATGTCGACGCGAAGGCGGAGAAGTTGGAGCTTCCCACGGGTGAAGCGCTGACGGAGGCCATCGTGACAGAGAAGCTGTTGAGCAAGATGCCGGCTGCCAAGAAAGGCAACATGGCGTCCTTCGTTGTCAGCCTGTACAAGTTCTACACCGATCTGCACTTTGCATATCTGGAGATCAACCCTCTCGTCATGTTGGATGACAACACCGTGATCCCACTCGACATGGCTGCCAAGATTGACGAGACTGCCAACTTCCTCTGTGCCCAGAAATGGGGAGAGCTGGATTGGCCTCCACCTTTCGGAAGGGCCGCCTACCCGGAGGAGGCTCTCATCCGCGACATGGATGGACGCACCGGGGCCTCTCTGAAGCTAACCATCCTCAACGAGAAGGGCCGGGTTTGGACGATGGTCGCAGGCGGAGGCGCCTCCGTCGTGTATGCTGACACCGTGGCCGATTACGGCATGGGCTCAGAGCTCGCAAACTATGGAGAGTACTCCGGAGCTCCGTCCACCGAGGAAACTTTCGTCTATGCCAAGACCCTGTTGTCCCTGATGATGAAGTACAAGCACCCTGAGGGCAAGTTTCTGATCATTGGTGGAGGCATCGCCAACTTCACGGACGTGGCTGCGACGTTCACAGGACTTATCAAGGCGCTCCAGGAGTACGCCGATGACATCAAGGACCTGGCAAGTTCATGTTGCAGAACATGTTCTTGCCAGTTTAGTCCAAGTTGCAGGGCTAGCATCCGAGCACGCGCGCGGCCTTCAGGAGCACAAGATCAAGATCCTGATTCGCCGCGCCGGTCCCAACTACCTTGAAGGCCTGCGCAAGGTGAAGGCTGCCAGCGACAAGCTTGGCCTCGGCATCAAGGTGCTTGTCCTGCAATGTCCTGTCGCATAACCTACCCGAAGCTGTAAATGCCAGGTGTACGGCCCGGAGACCCACATCACCGCGGTGATCCCAATGGCCCTGGGAAAGATCGATCCCCTGCCGGAACCGGACCTGTCTGCTCCTTGCGGTCCTCCGGCCTGGCTCCCAGGACGTCTGAGGGTTCGAAGGTGTGCTTGCTCGTAACCTTTGGGCTAGTTCAGGTTCGCAAGATGATTGACCTCAAGGGCAAGAAGCCCCCCCGGCGAGATTGTAAGACAAGTCTGCGTGCCTCCTTCTCGACCTTTCTATCTTGGCAGGCCCACGCCGAAGGGCCATCCTGCTCCGCCTGCAGGCTTGTAGCTCACTCTGCTGAGATGCGCCTGTGTTGTTTACATGCTGGTGGACAGTCTGCGCCACCGTTTCCGTTTGGTTGCTGGCATCTTATTTGCCTTGATGGCTCTGGGTGATGGTACTCGTAGGATCTCACAGGTCGTGGTCGGTGGGTGGGGGTGAACGATGGATGGCATCAATTGCGCATTTTATCGCGGTTGTGCCGCATGTTGAGACATTTCTTGTGCAGGCGCCAAGCACACACTCGTGACGGCAACGTCATGCCTGCATGTCTTGAACGTGAGGCAGTCTTCTTTTGACCTCTCGTCTGTCATGCCGGTAGCAAGGCCGGAGACCACTTCGATTGTGTACGGCATGCAAAACCGAGCTGTTCAAGGCAAGCCTGATTTCTCCTTCTCGCAGCAGGGCGCACGTCCATGTATTTAGAAAACACTGTCAAATACCTTCTGTCGTGCGGTGTGTGCGGGCGGCAGAATTCACACTTTCACAGCGTCCAGGTATGTTGGACTTTGACTTCATGTGCAAGCGTGCCCTGGCAACGGTATGCAGCAACTTCGACCGTGCGAAGCACAGCTTGCTGCTGTTGAGGCAAGAAGCCGTCCGTGGATGCCATGGTCTTCCCCTTCTCCGGCAACTTGGCCGCGACGAAACTAGATGACATTGTCAATGCCGCACCTAGCTTGGGAGCTATAGCCAAGGAAACCATTATGCAACTGGGCTGCATGTGAGACTGTGATTTCGACGTGACATCCGACCTCTTCTGTGACCGACAAGGTCAAGTTCTACTGGGGCACAGAGGAGGCAGTTGTTTGAATGGTTCCTCAATGTGTTTCCCCAGCCCATCCTACAGAGCACTATTTTCTCTCTGCATAAGCTTTACTTTGAATTTTCTTGAATGCTGAACCCACACTTGCTGGGCAGATCCTCATGCCTGTCTACACTACGACCAAGGAGGCTTTTCATTTACTGCCAGTGCGGTGAGGGGGGTTGGGGAGCCGTGGGGCCGTAGGCCAATAACAGCTGGCACATCCCGTTGGCCAGGCGGTGCAGAAGCATCCCAGCGCCTCTGTGTTCGTGAACTTTGCTTCCTTCCGCTCCGTGCACGAAACCTCTATGGAGGTCTGGTGAGCGAGCTGTGTTGGTTCGAATGGCAACAAAAGCGCCTTCAGATGATTCGTTTGCGAGGCCATGAACTACAGCAACTTGAAGACAATCGCCATCATTGCCGAGGCTACTTCTCACCGGTTCTAGCAAGAGGTGTCACTGCCGTGTCCTTGTGCCGTTGGCAGGGTGTGCCTGAGCAGCAGACCAGGGACATCATCAAGGTCGCCGAGAAGAAGGGTGTAGGCCCGCACGCTTGCCAATGCAGCTGAAAGCCAATCCATCACTGATGTTGCGGCTGATGATGCCGAAGTGAGCAGGCATCATCGGTCCAGCAACTGTGGGTGGCATCAAGCCTGGCTGTCTCCGCATCGGGAACACTGGTGGCATGCTGCAGCCTTAGACACCAAGTTTCCCGGTTCGTATGGGGTCTGGTTGCCCTTGTAAAACGACCATGGTACCAGGTTGGACAACATTGTGATGTCCCGTCTCTACCGACCGGGTTCTGTTGCCTACGTTTCCAAGTCCGGAGGAATGCCAGGAGCCAAGCTCGACTCAGACGAGAAATAGGCCGCGACAGTGTCGGCCCAGGTCCAACGAGCTCAACAACATCGTGTGCCGCAACTCGGACGGTGTCTACGAGGGTGTTGCCATCGGCCGGAGCCTTTCCAGAGTTGTGCAGGCATTTGTGTCGCTTTTCCACGCTAGCTTCTGTGCTGACTTGAGGTGGCGACCGCTACCCTGGCAGCAGGTTCTTGGATCACTTCCTTCGCTACCAGGAGATGTTGAATCGCAGCCTTTGCCTGTAGTTGCTCGCCTGCACGTGTCACACTCATCCGAGCCACCTTTGAAGGACGACCCCAACGCCAAGATGCTGCTGCTGCTTGGAGAGGTTGGCGGAATCGACGAGTACGACCTGATCGACGCGCGCCCCCAAGCTTGTTGCTCTCCGAACGGGTGTGTCATACTCTCGTGGTGGGTAACGTGAGGCCGTGAAGAAGGGCCGAATCACCAAGCCAGTCGTGGCCTGGTGCGTGGGCACTTGTGCCTCGTGCTTCACTACGGAGGTGCTTCAGCCTCGGACTGCACCGAGAGACGGAGCAGCTGTTTGCTGCTTCTGAGCAGGTGCAGTTTGGACACGCCGGTGCGCAGGCGCGCGAGCTTACTTTTCGAGAGGTGGACTCGAGACAACCCTGACTGCCCAGGCCCGCGGCGACATGGAGACGGCAGCAGCGAAAAACAAGGCGTTTTGCCAATATCAAGGATGTCTATGTACGGACAGCTTTTGTGCATGCTGAACTGACCAGGCAATGAAGGAAGCTGGTTTCCACGTGCCAGACTCCTTCGATCTGCTTCCGGAGATGATCAACAAGGTCCGTTCAGAGTTGCTGAATTGCCGCAGCCTTTCATGCTGCTTCGCACACAGTGCCACTGCCAGGTCTACACCTCCCTGGTCGAGGCTGGTGAGATCGTGGAGCAGCACGAGGGCGAGACCCCCCAGGCTCGCACAGGGCAGCTTCTGTGGCAGCGTAAACATCGAAGCCGCGGCAGGTGCCTATGGACTACACCTGGGCAAAGAAGCTTGGAATGGTCAGGCGCAGCATCGTGCAAACGACCTTCAAACCGTCTGCCGGCAACGGTCCAACAGTCCAGCATGTGTGCACACACAGCTTGTGTCCATCGCAGGAAGCCTGCAAACTTCATCTCATCCATTTCTGATGATCGCGGAGAGGACCGTCCGCAGGCCTTGTGCGAGCCATGTTGCGGCTCGTCAGTGTCAAGGAGCTGACCTACTGCGGCATGAGCATCTCCGACGTCTTCACCAAGGACCAAGAGTGCTGTAGTCTGTACAGGCTTTGCCTTGTGATGTCCGAAGCCAGGAGATCGGCATCGGCGGCGTTCTCTCCCTCTTGTGGTTCCGTCGCCAACTTCCCGCCTCGCACTGAGATGCGCTGACCACCACGAAGAGAGTGCGACCCAAAATTTCGAAAGCGATCCCGGAACAGAGAGACGAACAAACAAAGGAAACAGCTCTCAACACGCTAAGCCAGTCTAGACTAAAGCAGAAGGAAGTGCCTTTTGTTAGTCGTCCGTGCCGATCCTGCTTGTAGCAAAGAACAGCAGTGTCTCATTCAAAACGTGTCTCCATGTGATTGCCGGGGGCTATCTGTGTCGTGGGCTTAGTTTTTGGTGCACGTCTGCGTTGACCATTACCCTACAACCGACGTGACATGTTGTTGTCGCGTGTGGGCTTACTGCAAAAAGTTCCTCCATACATACACTTCTTCACACCGCGGAATGACGTTCCAACTTTCGCGCCTCTTCAAGCATGCCTATCCGTAGCCTGTGAGCCAACAGGACAGGGCGAACAACTGCCAATGATCCGCCCAACTCATAGCGGTCCTCCGACACAGGGCACGAACCCTACGAAGGGTGTGCCCCTAAGCCTGCGAAAGAAAGGGCGGGGGACGATCCACACTCAGAAAGCTCGCCCACGAACGCAGACCCAGAAAAGCAACCAGACGAATACATGGAGGTAGAGGTTCTGAGTTTGAGGAGGTCGTTGTCGAACCACCCGGGAGAAACCCTACCTCCCGGAAGCGCGTATACGGCGCGGAGGTGCGCAACAGAAGAGAGTGGGGAATCCCGCCGTGGAGAGCCGTGGGAGCAGACGACGGCGACGACACCAATGTGCAGCTACTGAGGAGTACCGTATGACGGTCCGAGCTCCTCGCCAAGCCAAAAATGGAAGATGCTGCTGCAGCAAAAAGGTCCGAAAGGTTGCTAGAGCAAAAGGAGGTACCTGTCCCAGCCGCTGTCGTCCGGAAGCCAACCCGAAGAGGAGACATTCGGAGTGGGGAGAAGCCGACAAGAAGCTATATATTGCCGGCGGAGGAAGGCTTCCATGGTGGTTGCCACATCTCACCCAGTGCAGTTTTGTAAGTTACACCTCCAGCGGAATCTGGCCTGCTAGAGACGGAGGCACCGACTCTTCTCTCCATTAAGTTTTCCCTTGAATGTGATTTGCAGAGAAAACGCAGCCTTCGTACAACATTTACGGTCCCAAGACGTGGCAGCTCATACGCGCCTGACCGGACCCTTCAGACCGAGAGACAAGAGAAACATAGAAAAGACACTCAAAGAGCGAGAAGCCTGGGCGAGAGAGGAGAGGGAGAGAGAGAGGAGAGGGAGAGAGAGAGCACGAGAGCAAGAGAGAAAACAGCAAAGGCCCTGCATAGCTCTTGCCCTCCGAAGGAAGGAAAGGGGGCTTGCACTTGCAGACAGCACTTGAGCATCGAACACATCGGTCCTGCTGCTGCCCGGCCACCCCCGACAGCCAACCCACAGTGCGGCCCGCGCAACAGAACCATATCTCCTGTCTGCGTCCAGTACCCAGACAAGAGCGAGCAAGCGAGAACCCGACAGTGCACATGAACATGCCGAGCATGGAAATTGGGATGCATGGGAAGGAGTCGGAAGGAGGACACTAACTCTAAGCGGTGGCAGTATGAGAAGCCAATAGGCAAATGGCATGGATATGTGGCTGCCAAGGGTGAGCTTCAGAGCAGTGTGGTTCGTGTGAGTTAACTTGCCACAGAGGCCTACGCAACGAAGTTCATCGAGATGATTCTCATGGTCACAGCCGACCATGGTCCAGCCGTGAGCGGTGCACACAACACCATCGTCACAGCCCGCGCAGGCCGAGCATAAACAGCGGTCCAGCTACAGAGTCAATGGCGGTCCCATGCTAGGCAAGGATCTCGTGTCCTCTCTTTGCAGCGGCCTGCTGACGATTGGGCCTCGCTTCGGTGGTGCGCTGGATGATGCGGCAAGAATGCTGCTCAGCTAGCATTCTCACGCAGGGATTTCTCCGAGTTGGGATCATCTTCGCCTTCACTCTTCTGTGTCAGGTTCGCGGATGCACAGGGTAGCGGAGTGGCGCCCAAGGCCGGGTGGGCCCGGCCCCCTGTTTCTTTTCTGCTTTCAACGCTGCTTGCAGGATTGGATCGAGAAGATGAAGAAGAGCAACCAGCTCATCATGGGCATCGGACACAGGATCAAGTCCTTGGCGAATCCTGACCAGCGAGTTGGGGCCCAAGTCCAGTCTCAAAAGGGTTCTTGCACGAAGTGGCGTGCCAGGTGGAGATCATCAAGGGTTTCGCCAAAAAGAACTTCAACTCTACGCCCGTTCTTGACTATGCTCTGGCAGTGGATCCTGAGCTTAGATACACCTGAGTTGTGTGAGGGCTTTCTGCACAAGCTTCAGGGTACCTGGCAAAGATCCTGAAACCCGGGAAATAGGAGTCTGAATCCGGAATGTGGTAGAGTGGTTCCAGTAGGTTCTCACGGTTTCCGAGGAGCAGATCACGACTCGCAAGAGGGCCAACTTGATCCTCAACGTCGACGGCTGCATCGCCGTGTCCCATCCCCTGCTCGAGAAGATTGAGCTGGAATTGGGATTCCTAGTGTAGCCAAGTCTTCGATTGTATCTTCGCAGAGAGTCATGTGTCCTGAGGCTTTACGGGCTTGCCGAATGCATATCTGTTGACAAACATGTCATGCACAGCCAAGCCATTCCGTACTGAAGCGAGTCGTACTGTGGTGAGTCGTACTGGCATCACAGAAGCCTTCCGACAGCTGAAAGGTCGTTTGTTGACATGATCCGATCCTGCGGTGCATTCTCAAAGGACGGCAGCGCTGAGCAAAACTTCGGCCTAGACCGCCTGGGACCGCCTGGTGCTTCTTCGCTCCTTTCCTCGTGTGCAGGAAGAGTGCGACGATTTGATGGCTTTTGGTTGCCTGAACGGGCTCTTTGTGCTAGGCCGGAAATCCACCTCTGTCTCGGTTCTTTTGGGCCTTGTTCGTTGCAGTGGGGTTTCTCGACAAGGCCGATCGATCGGCTTCATCGGACACTACCTGGATCAGCTGCGGCTGTATCCTCAATGATTTTTCTCGACTACAGACCAAAAGCTCGCAGCGCCAAGGTTGAAACAGCCGCTGTACCGCCATCCTTGGGATGACATCACTTACATCCAGGACAGCTTGTTATGGCCATCAGCAGGGAAAGTAAAGTTGCTGAGATCCCTCGTGCTCAGGAGCTCGCAGGCCAGGGGCCGGAGTGATGCCTGGGCCTCGTTGCTTGTGATCTCTCGCAAGCTACGATGTTTCCTCGCACTACTGAGGACTTTGTCACACGATGGAGCTTTGGTTGGATGTTGTTTGCGACCAGTTTTGAAAAGCGGCCGGTGTCTGGCTTTCCCGTGACTTAGCGGACGCAGCGTGACTGGTGCAGGGCTTGGATAGGGCGTGAGCACGCCTCGCACTGTGCCCCACGCCGCGAAGGGAGCAGCTACGGCTGCGAGCACCATTCGCTTCGAGCTTTGCATGGTTCGACTAAGTGACTAATCAGCAATATGTTGTATGTAGAATCATGCAGATACGGTTTCCGGACCATAGTTAGCCGCGTCATGGATGTGCGGTCATCCAAAATGTCCGTGAACGCCAGAGCACAATCAACAACAGCCGAGAAGTCGGGCCATCAAATCTTTTTCCACCTTTTCCACGGAGTTAGTTGCACACGAAAGCCAAGGTCATGCTTTCAAAGAGTCCTGTGCAAGCCGATTTTTCAACAAACTTGGTGCTTGCTTCGAAGAAAGCATGGCCTGATGATTTCTTCATAGGGCATAGGCAGGGCAGTGACTTTCAAGCGCTGCCAGGCAGAGGTCTTCCAACGATTGCGCGAGCAAAATCGCGGAAGAGTTGACATGACATCAACCAGGGCCAGGGGTTGACAATCAGAGGCACGAACCAAGCGGAGGCCTAGCAGGTGCGGGAGATGGACGTGAGTTCAATTCTTCCGGCTTCGTTTCGGCTCAACGTCGATTTGCAGTTGCTGGGTTTGGGAAAGATGGCAGCGGCAGCTGCGCCTCCAAGCCCCTTGGAACGCATCTTGAGCTTCCAATGCATGAGAAAAGTCTGCAGACCTAAAGATCGTTCTCAGGCCGAACCCCCACAGCAAAGTCCTGATAGACCCCCAGCGCATCAAGCTCACATCCCTCTGTGAACGAGGCAGTGAGCTGGATGTGGGGCGATCCACCGAAGCAGCAGAGGCCCGGGGTAAAAAGTGTCCAGGCAGCGACATGCGCAAGTACATATATATATATATATAATTATACATATGCAGAGTTCCACTCTCTCTCTCTCTCTCTCTAATTTAGTTTTTTATAAAAAATATACATATACATATGTATACACAGTTCAACTTGCATATGGCTGGACTGAGTTCTCGTGTTTCGGTTACCCTTCATCGGGTATGGTCATGTAAGTCAATGATCGCGAGCCTCCACGCCTGCTCGGCCAAAGCCCTCGTAACATCCTACAGCCTTATGAAACCCTGGTGACAGCCTTACAAGCCCTGCAGCACCTGTGCTGAAACCAAGCACAGACTTCAGATTCGTCTGCTGTTCACTCGGCAGCCGCCATCGGACGACAATAAGAACAAAAGGAGGTGACTCCATGGGCCAGTAGCCGATGAAGACCAGAACTGAGTCATGCTGCGGTGTATGTCCGGGCATCCTCGTCCGGACTTCAATGTGGCAAACCTGATGATCAACACATGGAATCCTGCAGCCTTGTGAGGCCAATGCGGCTGCTGCAAAGCCAGAGGGCGAAGTCGCCGAGGATCGGTGCCAGAGCGAGAGTCATCAGGGGCTTGGACTGCTGTTGACTCTTGATGCCAAGTTCCCGAGCAGCGGTACCCGGAAAAGCCATGCACTTTTCATCATGTTGAGATCCAAGCGAGAGCGAAGAAGCAAGCTATGCTCCAAGATACTCTCTGGGTTTGCAATCTGACTGCGTCTTCTTTTTGTTGGCTTGGCTCTCACCCATGTCTCTATGTGAAGTGTAGCAGATGTACCTCCTTTCGACTCTAGACCCTCCATCCCTGTCGAGTTGTTTCAAACCACGGGCTCGGTTCACAAGTTGCGAGGTTATGGAACGTTTAGTTGCCAGAGTTCCTATATAAATCGTCCTCTCTAGTCGAGGCGTGCAGTACATGTTGATAGTGGATTGAAGCATTGTTGTCACACGCATTAAACTACAAGACCTTGCTCAAGTCATAAAAGGTTTCTACTTACCTGTCGTGCCACCAGGTGGGCAAAGTGGGCAAGGAAGCCCTAGACCCTCTGATGCCTATAGCCACGCCGTGATGTTTGAGCACAGCTGTGGCTGCGTTGTCGAATTCTGGCTGCAATGCCGGTGGATGAGAGTGTGGCATAGCTGTTCCGGCCAGGTCATTCCCAACCAAGGTGAGGATAGTCGACCGGTGCCCAAGCAGGTGCGATTTGCTCGTACTCGCATCCTCTCTTCGAGAACTGAATCTCTGCTTCCATGCGCAATCTGCTGCCAAGACATCGGGTCCCAGGTCCAGTGCTTGGAAAACGGAACCGACCTCTTCAAGATGTTTGAGGTTTCCAGCTTGGACAGCTGATCCTGCATCACAGCCGGCTGCGAGAATCCAGACCTGCTGACAAGACTCAGCCAGGTGGACATGAACAAGTTTGACTCCTCACAGGTGCGAAAGTCTTATCACAAGATGGTGGGGGCACCCAGAGGGGCTCACACGGGCAATGAACCATTTGGCTTCCTTGTTCATGGCTGTGTAAGTGAAGCTAAGGCGACCTTCGTACACCCAGACAAACTTGGTCGAGAACCCACGGATGCGGACCGTGCTCGTGCTGCAGCCACATTTCGGGATGGCTTGCTCTACCGTCTGAGAAGCAGCATCGTGCAACACGTGCTGCAGCCGAGCAACATGTCCCCGTCTCTGAAACGGCCAGCCACACTGCGGATGACGGATGTCGTGGCAGGTTTCACCAAACTGAAGCAGGCTTTGACCTGGGTTCCCAGGTGTTGCGAGTCTGCTCCTGCGTGCACCGCTTTCCTTGATGCTTCTTGTGCATCCGAAGAGGCTTACACTGTTCTCATGGACGAGCAGTTGCGTGCCGTGTCAAGTACTCAGCAAGGACTTTCGCGGCTTCAGTACATGTCTGCGGACAGCTGAACAGCCTGAAATCGGTGAGCGAAGTGATGGGGGATGATGCTGTGAAACGCTGCCTTCTCGACACCTGCACGACGGCTGTAACACCCACTCCCCTGCCTGCCTAGATAGAACAGACCTGGACCCCGACTAGCGGGTTTGGCTGTCGTCTTTCACAAGAAGCGCAACCTCGTTGTCACGGTCTTGAAAGGTACAGACAGCACTGCTTCGGCATTGCTGGCTCTGGAGGGTGTGCTCCGCAAGGCCTTTTACCAGAGATATCACAAGAGAGGTCAGTGGAAGGCCTCGGTGGCATTGCAGGTCACGAAACTGCCTTGAGCAAAGCTCTGGAAATGGCCCGAGAATTAAGAAAGATGGGCGAGGAGAGAGCTCTCGTTCTCTACAAGGCCGAAGTGAGCCCTTGGGCTTCAAGTGAACCAACAATGTCGAGTGTGTTCCTTTTCTTGAGCTGCTGGCTGCTAGTGTTCATGTGGGTCTTTCGGAATCTGCTGCCGTTGTCATCTACGGTGCATCCGCGGCTCAGCCCTTTTGTAGCCAGCAACACAGCGCGTTCCTCCCGCATTGTCTCCAGACATGTCGGTGAAGCCCATCCGAGAGCATGCAGGGAAGGCCCTTCTGGAGAAGTACTTGCCAGAGGTCTCCGGCGGCAAGCACAAGATGGGGTGCGCAGGTGTTTTGGTGACTCCTGCGGTGCTGGACAGCACTGGGAGCCAGACCTGGGACAGCATTCTGCAGGCGAACCCATGGCTGAAGACCACCAACTTGGTGGCCAAGCCGGACCAGCTCATCAAGCGCCGTGGCAAAGCAGGCCTGATCGCTGTGAACAAAACCTTCGACGAGGCCAAGCAGTGGGTGATGGATCGTATGTGCAAGGAGCAGCAGGTGGAGCACGTCACCGGGCAGTTGAACCACTTCTTGGTCGAGCCTTTCGTGCCCCACAAGCAGGAGCAGGAGCACTACATCTGCATGCTGTCCCACCGTTATCACGACGAGATCCTCTTCTATCACGAGGGCGGTGTTGATGTGGGTGATGTCGACGCGAAGGCGGAGAAGTTGGAGCTTCCCACGGGTGAAGCGCTGACGGAGGCCATCGTGACAGAGAAGCTGTTGAGCAAGATGCCGGCTGCCAAGAAAGGCAACATGGCATCCTTCGTTGTCAGCCTGTACAAGTTCTACACCGATCTGCACTTTGCATATCTGGAGATCAACCCTCTCGTCATGCTGGATGACAACACCGTGATCCCACTCGATATGGCTGCCAAGATTGACGAGACTGCCAACTTCCTCTGTGCCCAGAAATGGGGAGAGCTGGATTGGCCTCCACCGTTCGGAAGGGCCGCCTACCCGGAGGAGGCTCTCATCCGCGACATGGATGGACGCACCGGGGCCTCTCTGAAGCTAACCATCCTCAACGAGAAGGGCCGGGTTTGGACGATGGTCGCAGGCGGAGGCGCCTCCGTCGTGTATGCTGACACCGTGGCCGATTACGGCATGGGCTCAGAGCTCGCAAACTATGGAGAGTACTCCGGAGCTCCGTCCACCGAGGAGACTTTCGTCTATGCCAAAACCCTGTTGTCCCTGATGATGAAGTACAAGCACCCTGAGGGCAAGTTTCTGATCATTGGTGGAGGCATCGCCAACTTCACGGACGTGGCTGCGACGTTCACAGGACTTATCAAGGCGCTCCAGGAGTACGCCGATGACATCAAGGACCTGGCAAGTTCATGTTGCAGAACATGTTCTTGCCAGTTTAGTCCAAGTTGCAGGGCTAGCATCCGAGCACGCGCGCGGCCTTCAGGAGCACAAGATCAAGATCCTGATTCGCCGCGCCGGTCCCAACTACCTTGAAGGCCTGCGCAAGGTGAAGGCTGCCAGCGACAAGCTTGGCCTCGGCATCAAGGTGCTTGTCCTGCAATGTCCTGTCGCATAACCTACCCGAAGCTGTAAATGCCAGGTGTACGGCCCGGAGACCCACATCACCGCGGTGATCCCAATGGCCCTGGGAAAGATCGATCCCCTGCCGGAACCGGACCTGTCTGCTCCTTGCGGTCCTCCGGCCTGGCTCCCAGGACGTCTGAGAGTTCGAAGGTGTGCTTGCTCGTAACCTTTGGGCTAGTTGAGGTTCGCAAGATGATTGACCTCAAGGGCAAGAAGCCCCCCCGGCGAGATTGTAAGACAAGTCTGCGTGCCTCCTTCTCGACCTTTCTATCTTGGCAGGCCCACGCCAAAGGGCCATCCTGCTCCGCCTGCAGGTTTGTAGCTCACTCTGCTGAGATGTGCCCGTGTTGTTTGCATGCTGGTGGACAGTCTGCGCCACCGTTTCCGTTTGGTTGCTGGCATCTTCTTTGCCTTGATGGCTCTGGGTGATGGTACTCGTAGGATCTCACAGGTCGTGGTCGGTGGCTGGGGGTGAACGATGGATGGCATCAATTGCGCATTTTATCGCGGTTGTGCTGCATGTTGAGACATTTCTTGTGCAGGCACCAAGCACACACTCGTGACGGCAACGTCATGCCTGCATGTCTTGAACGTGAGGCAGTCTTCTTTTGACCTCTGGTCTTCAATGCCGGTAGCAAGGCCAGAGACCACTTCGATTGTGTACGGCATGCAAAACCGAGCTGTTCAAGGCAAGCCTGATTTCTCCTTCTTGCCGCGCGGCACACGTCCAGGTATTCAGAAAACACTGTCAAATACCTTCTGTCGTGCGGTGTGCGCGGACGGCAGAATTCACACTTTCACAGCGTCCAGGTATGTTGGACTTTGACTTCATGTGCAAGCGTGCCCTGGCAATGGTATGTAGCAACTGCGAACGTACGAAGCAAAGCTTGCTGCTGTTGAGGCAAGAAGCCGTCCGTGGATGCCATGGTCTTCCCTTTCTCCGGCAACTTGGCCGCGACGAAACTAGATGACTTTGTCAATGCCGCACCTAGCTTGAGAGCTGTAGCCAAGGAAACCATTATGCAACTGGGCTTTATTTGAGACTGTGATTTCGACGTGACATCCGACCTCTTCTGTGACCGACAAGGTCAAGTTCTACTGGGGCACAGAGGAGGCAGTGTGAATGGTTCTGCACTGTTCTTCCCAGTCCAGCCGACAGAGCACTCATGTGTTTTCTCTGCATTGACTTCGCCTTCAACTTTCTTGAATGCTGTACCAACATTTGCCTGGCAGATTCTCATGCCTGTCTACACTACGACCAAGGAGGCTGTGCATTTTGCGCCTGTGGTTTACCTTCAAGTTAGATAGCAGGGTGAGGGGAGGATGGGAGATGTGGGCAAATAGCAACTCGCACATCCCCGAAGACGGACAGTGGTGCATGGGAGGATGCGTGTCCAGTGCACTACGGTGTGCATTCGTAGAACTGGCTCACTGGCCAGGCGGTGCAGAAGCATCCCAGCGCCTCCGTGTTCGTGAACTTTGCTTCCTTCCGCTCCGTGCACGAAACCTCTATGGAGGTCTGGTGAGCGAGCTGTGTTGGTTCGAATGGCAACAAAAAGCGCCTTCAGATGCTTCGTTTGCGAGGCCATGAACTACAGCAACTTGAAGACAATCGCCATCATTGCCGAGGCTCCTTCTCACCGGTTCCCGCAAGAGGTGTCACTGCCGTGTCCTTGTGCCGTTGGCAGGGTGTGCCTGAGCAGCAGACCAGGGACATCATCAAGGTCGCCGAGAAGAAGGGTGTAGGCCCGCACGCTTGCCGATGCAGCTGACGGTTTTTCAGTCACTGATTTTGCGGTTGATGATACCGAAGTGAGCAGGCATCATCGGTCCAGCAACTGTGGGTGGCATCAAGCCTGGCTGTCTCCGCATCGGGAACACTGGTGGCATGCTGCAGCCTTAGACACCAAGTTACCCGGTTCGTATGGGGTGTCTGGTTGCCCTTGTAAAACGACCATGGTGCCAGGTTGGACAACATTGTGATGTCCCGTCTCTACCGACCGGGTTCTGTTGCCTACGTTTCCAAGTCCGGAGGAATGCCAGGAGCCAAGCTAGACTCAGACGAGAAATAGGCTGCGACAGTGTCGGCCCAGGTCCAACGAGCTCAACAACATCGTGTGCCGCAACTCGAACGGTGTCTACGAAGGTGTTGCCATCGGCCGGAGCCTTTCCAGAGTTGTGCAGGCATTTGTGTCGCTTTTCCACGCTAGCTTCTGTGCTGACTTGAGGTGGCGACCGCTACCCTGGCAGCAGGTTCTTGGATCACTTCCTTCGCTACCAGGAGATGAAGAATCGCAGCCTTTGCCTGTAGTGGCTTCCGTTGCACGTGTCACACTCATCCGAGCCACCTTGGAAGGACGACCCCAACGCCAAGATGCTGCTGCTGCTTGGAGAGGTTGGCGGAATCGACGAGTACGACCTGATCGACGCGCGCCACCAAGCTTGTTGCTCTCCGAACGGGTGTGTCATACTCTCGTGGTGGGTAACGTGAGGCCGTGAAGAAGGGCCGAATCACCAAGCCAGTCGTGGCCTGGTGCGTGGGCACTTGTGCCTCGTGCTTCACTACGGAGGTGCTTCAGCCTCTGACTGCACCGAGACACGGAGCAGCTGTTTGCTGCTTCTGAGCAGGTGCAGTTTGGACACGCCGGTGCGCAGGCGCGCGAGCTTACTTCTTTCGAGAGGTGCACTCGAGACAACCCTGACTGCCCAGGCCCGCGGCGACATGGAGACGGCAGCAGCGAAAAACAAGGCGTTTTGCCAAGATCAAGAATGTCTATGTACACACAGTTTTTGTAAATGCTGAACTGAGCAGGCAATGAAGGAAGCTGGTTTCCACGTGCCAGACTCCTTCGATCTGCTTCCGGAGATGATCAACAAGGTCCGTTCAGAGTTGCTGAATTGCCGCGGCCTTTCATGCTGCTTCGCGCACCGTGCCGCTGCCAGGTCTACACCACCCTGGTCGAGGCTGGTGAGATCGTGGAGCAGCATGAGGGCGAGACCCCCCAGGCTTGGACAGGGAAGCTTCTGCGGAAGCTTGAATGTTCCTTACGCTCTCTTTTTTTCTTCCCCCGGGCTATGGTATGAGGAACGTATTCGTTGCATGCTGCTTGGTTCCCTTCCTGATGCACACCTGGCTTTTCCCTACACTCACTGGCTTGTCTTTTTGCGCACCTCTCCTTACAAGCTGACTTTTCCGTATGCCAGCCCCGCACCCCTCTTCCCACCCTTCCACCCTCCCGCATCCCACCCTTTCCCATGATTTTTTGTCGAAAGCCGCTGCTGCGAAATAGATGACGTTGTTTTTCGGGCAATATTGGAACGGAGGCTTAGGGCCTAGGGCTTTATGGCCCTCTATCGTCTTCGAATTTTGCCTGCAAGGCCACAGTTGGAGGCTCCAAGGGGTCCATGTAATGAGGCGGCTCGAACGAAACATGCTCCCTCCCCTTGCAAAAAGCAAGAAATTCAAAATCAGGTTTCACAGAGTTTATGGCAAAGTTTATGATCTTGTTGGACATGTTGACTGTGCTTGTCGGGTGCACGTAGCTTTTACAGCTTCGGATTTTAAACAAATCATTGATGCAAGATCGCAGTTGGAGGGTCTTCTCCCAACGGCCATGTAATGGCCCCGACGGAGGAGGCAGCTCGAACGAAAACGCCAGGATTCCAGCAAGAAGTTGGAAATAGGTTGTGGATCGGAGATTTAGTTTCTTTCTGGAACATTCTGACTTTGTCCCTGTGTTTTAGGTGTGTGCATCGCGTTTTACACATGTTCGAGGCTTGAAGTTCAGGGCGATTGCCTATGCTTTTTTTGCGACAAGTGGCAAGAACCGGAAGTTTTTCGAACAGGACATTTATTGCAATTTTTAGATTTCAAAAGCACGGGCACCAAAACCATAAATGCTTCGGCTGCCAATAGGAAAAGCTCAGAAAAACAACTGCATTTTTTAGCTCAGTTTTGCCGCATTCCCACACACCAGAGCTTCCTTTCTGCATATGGTCCATATGCGCAGCCAATAATATCTGCAGTGTCATAGCCCAAACACACCCCAAACAAGAGCGATGCCTCACGTCACCATGCCGCCTTCCCTGTTGGGGCACCTTGAAAAATCACAGAGGGGGTGGATTTCAAGTTGTCCACCTGGACGGTCGGGGGATTTGCCCGCCCAAGTGCTTGTCCATCATCTTGTCTTATATAGCAACCAGCCCGAGCTTTTGCCCGGCCACCTCTTGCCAGCACATCTTCTCCTTCAATTCGAAATATCCAGCCGGAGGGGCATCGCATCTCTAATGACCACAAGTTGAGTTCCAGAGCACATTCCCGTAAAAGCACTTGGAGGGTAGTACTTCCACTTGGAAAGGAGTGCCTCTCCTTCACTCTTGATTCCGTCCCTCCCACTCTCTCCCTTGAGCCAAACCACGGGGGGGGAACTCAAAGCACAAAAAACCCATGTGCAGCTTGAAGATTGAAGTTGCAGCAGGTGCCTATGGACTACACCTGGGCAAAGAAGCTTGGAATGGTCAGGCGCACCATCTTGGACCCTTCAAACCGTCTGCCGGCAACGGTCGAACATGTGTGCACTCCGCTTGTGTCTCGCGCAGGAAGCCTGCAAACTTCATCTCATCCATCTCTGATGATCGCGGAGAGGACCCTCCAGAGGCCTTGTGCGAGCCATGTTGCAGCTCACTGGTGCAAGGAGCTGACGTACTGCGGCATGAGCATCTCAGACGTCTTCACCAAGGACCTGCTGTGATCTGTACAGCCCTTGGCTTCCGTTGATGTGAGAAGCCAGGACATTGGCATCGGCGGAGTTCTCTCCCTCTTGTGGTTCCGTCGCCAACTTCCTGCCTTGAACTGAGATGAGAGACTGAGATCCAAAAACCCGAAAGCGATCGAGAGGGAAGTGTCTCTGCATGTACGAGTGGAGCCGAACGGGTGAGGGGGGGAAGTCCTTCTGCATCTGTGAGCATAAGGAACAGTCCGTTTCGTGTGAGTTATCTTGCCACAGAGGCCTACGCAACGAAGTTCATCGAGATGATTCTCATGGTCACAGCCGACCATGGTCCAGCAGTGAGTGGTGCACACAACACCATCGTCACAGCCCGCGCAGGCCGAGCATAAGCAGAAGTCCAGCTACAGAGTTGACGGCGGTCCCATGCTAGGCAAGGATCTCGTGTCCTCTCTTTGCAGCGGCCTGCTGACGATTGGGCCTCGCTTCGGTGGTGCGCTGGATGATGCGGCAAGAATGCTGCCAAGCTAGCATTCTCACGCAGGGATTTCTCTGAGTTGGGATCATCTTCGCCTTCACTCTTCTGTGTCAGGTTCGCAGATGCACAGGGCAGCGGAGTGGCGCCCAAGGCCGGGTGGGCCCGGCCCCCTATTTCTTTTCTGCTTTCAATGCTGCTTGCAGGATTGGATCGAGAAGATGAAGAAGAGCAACCAGCTCATCATGGGCATCGGACACAGGATCAAGTCCTTGGCGAATCCTGACCAGCGAGTTGGGGCCCAAGTCCAGTCTCAAAAGGGTTCTTGCACGAAGTGGCGTGCCAGGTGGAGATCATCAAGGGTTTCGCCAAGAAGAACTTCAACTCTACGCCCGTTCTTGACTATGCACTCGCAGTCGAAGCTTGGCTAAGAATCTAGACATCATGCTTCTGCAGCATGGGCACTTGCAGCAAATTCCGCGCCTCTCAGCAGATGTCAGTGGTGGCATTGCGCTAGGAGCAGATCACTACCCGCAAGCGAGCAAATCTGATCCTGAACGTCGACGGATGCATCGCCGTGTCCAACCCACAGTGGTTAAGCGTGTCGACAGGATTCGATTGTCATGTTTCCACATTTGACATGCGAATTGGGGCACCCAGGTCGTTCGTGGACATGATCAGGTCTTGCGGGGCCTTCTCGAAGGAGTGCTGCAACCAGGGTTCTCGGAAAGATCTGTTACAGTAGAGTGTACCATCCCATTGCTTCTGTGCCAGATGAGATCGGCAGATCGTGGACAGTACCATTTCTGAATTGCTTGAGCAGGAAGAGTGCGACGACCTCATGGCCTTCGGCTGCCTCAATGGCCTGTTCGTTCTAGGCCTGTGTCAACTTCACGCGACGCGTCCCCTCCCATGAACGGCAAGCCCAAGCCATGTGTAGGCCGCTCCATCGGCTTCATCGGCCACTACCTGGACCAGCTTCGGCCCACGCCTCAGGAGACAGGGCAGGAGTGGCACTCCTGGATGTAGAGATGCGATGAAATCTGCCCTAGATGGGAGCACACTTGCAGATCAGATGCACCCCCAATACGGATAAGAGAGAGAAAAGAGATGCTCAGCGGTTCGACCATGCGAGCCTGCTAGGCTGAAGCAGCCGCTGTACCGCCATCCTTGGGACGACATCACCTACATCCAGGACCCGGCACGATCATTCATCCCTTTGTTTGAGCCTTCACTTCGTTGCTGTTGGCAGTTAAAGCTGTCTGACTCATCGCCTTTTGCTGCAGGAGCTTGCTGGCCAGGGGCCGGAGTGAACAGGGCTCGAAATGCCTACCTCTTGCTGCAAGCAGCTCGGCCAAGACTTCTGGCAAACCCAGTGATGCAGCAGCAAGCAATTTCTGCAGGCAATCGTCGTAAAGACGAGTAGAAAGTTGCACGCCGCGCCCTGATTTGTCTTGAAGCCATGCGTTTGAGTGTCATCGTGGTTCATGGGATGCTCTTGTGTCCAGACGAGAGTGAAGTGTAAGCTTATATTATAGGTCAGGTGGACAGCAGTCAGCACAGCAGAATCACGCAAATCAGAGAGAAAGTTGGGGCTGGCAGTGCGATCTTTCGCTGCTGCTCCACCCGTTGCCTACGATCGGTTCCCACGGTCTTCGCTACACTGGTTATAGCAGTTGTCGTCCTTGACTGCTGTGTTAATGATTCTAATGTCTTCTTCCTAAGCAGTCTTCTCGTGGACAGGTCTTTCGGTTCAGTGTTCGACTGCAAATGCTCGTGGTGGTCCGCGTAGCGAACAGTTCTTCAGCCTGCGTTTCTGCTTGCAACTCTGCAGCTCTCCACGGCTTCACTCTCACTGTCCCCATCGCAATTTGTCCTTTTGGAAATCCAGCTTCCACACGTTTCACGACCCAAAACTTCCTTGTGCCCGATCAGGCGCGTTTCGATATGCGTGGAGCGCATTAGGCCACAGCACCTCCGTCCCTCTCAGCTGGAGAACGGTGGCAAAGCTACATGCCTTCCACTGGCGCTCTTCGCTTGCCGCAGCAGCTTCTGCCGTTGCTTGTGCTGGTACCGGGTAGTATCCCCGCTTGGTGATGACGTATGTTCAGTGCATGCACGTCATGCCTTGCGACAACTTCTCTCGATCCAAAGCTTAGCTTCTTGTTTACTCGGCGATTAGTCTTGTCGAGACCTGTCCGTCGTCTGCATACGTTGATGCATCGTTCGGCCGTTAGACATGTCAGATAAATGCTATCCGGCAGACCATGAGAACACGCTTTAATGCGTCATGGGCTCTGAAGGCAGGTTGTTGAGCTGACACTTAGCACGCCGAGGTCTGGCAGATGCAATTGGCTATCAGTTTTGCGCCTGTGCTAATCCGCGCTGAAGCTCAGCCTTTACCTCCCCGGACCACTTTAGAGTCCAGTTTGGTGGGTAGATGCGTGCGAAAGCGTAGCTGCTTAAAACGGCAGCTTGATTCTGCTTCTTGTTCTCCAGGTTTTCCAGAAGAGATTTATCTCTGGTGGTGTTGTCACAGCACCTAGAGGATTGAAGCAGTGCATCGTCAGGTATACGGTAGACTGTAGAAACATCTGTCTGCAAGATTTTGACCGGTGCTGTGGGGATACCCTCCAACCTCCGCGGAAGCTTCGAAGCACGCCTTTTCTACAGATCCACAGTCTGCAGTTCATGCAGGAAAGAGCTAGAAGCGACAAGAAGACAAGAAAAGACCTTTGCCATAAGATTTGGGTGCTTGCTGTGCAAAGAGTCTTCACAACCCCTCTGACAGAATTGTTTGCAGGCAGCTGAAGTTGGCTGGTCGGAGGTGCAAAAGGCGGGTGGAAGCTTTGTTGTGTCTGGCTGCTGGAGAGTCTGGAGAGCCATGGGCAGGACCAAGACGGCAGGGCTATGCGCGGTGATGGCCGCAAGCTTGCCCACAAGTTGCTTGCCTCGATGTCAGACCGCTTGACCTCAGTGTAGTCCACTGCAACCGACGGCTGTTCTAGAGTGTCTCTGTTGACAACTGCATTCTTGTCCGTTGGGCGTTGCTACAGCAGGTTCAACATCTTCCAAGAGATTTCCTCTGAAGATGATGATGGTGAACTCGAGAAGGACATCACGTGCACCTGCCGAGCCAAGACACGAGAAACGCTCGTGCTTAGTGCCGTCGACCAGTACCCTGGTTCACGAACAGGAGCGGCGTGGCCTCACAGTGGAACAGATCTTGGCGGGAGCCCTAAAGTGGCCAGCAAGCATCATCCTCAGCCACAACTTCTGCTGTTACATGAGACAGAGACGTGCATACGGGTGCCGGCAAATCGAAAGTGTTTCGACTGTGCTGAGACTGCATGACCTGTTCACATCAATCTACTTAGTACGAGAAGTCCTGTCGATTTCGCAGGCATGCCCCTGTAAAATGTCGCACACCGCACTGAAGGGCGACAGCACATTTCATGCTCATCAGGCCTTGGTGCTGCAACGCAGTTTCCATCAATCACGACCGCGGTCGTATGAAAAAGAGACACGAACAAATCCCAGTGGCGGCTGGTCAGAAGGGCTGGGACCAAGGAGTCCAATGGAGGGATACTTCGAACCGGCAAACTGAATCTTTGAAACTACGGGTTTCAACTTGGTAGCTGCATGCGTCGGGTCAGACATACGTCAGCAGACCAGCTTGAGGAGAGAAGTCCGAAGTATGCGGACAAGTTCTTGGATAAAGTGAAGCCCTTGCTGGTGGACCCGAAGGTGCGGAGAGTGCCATAGTGCCACGTAGACAAAGCCTCTATAGGAAAGGGGTCTGCGAGCAGTCCCGGCAGGTCAGCAAGACGGCTGCCGGAGGTGCGTTCACAATGCTGGAGGCGCCCCGAAGCCCTTGACATACACTTTTCATCGTTGCGACTTCGGGCCAGTGCTAGGAGCCACACCTGATGCCCCTCTTGAACGAGAGCCGAGACCTTGTTTGCCGAAGATGCGGTGCTATGATGGCTTTTACCATGAACCCTGCAACATGACGGCCATTATCCATATATCATCTTCGTCATCATTACCGCCTTGATACAGTTCTTGGTCTTCGTTCTCGTCGTCGTCTTCAGCACCACTACCATCACCACCACCCATCACCACCACCCATCATCATCATCATCATTTTCATCATCTCCGTCACCCGAGCACAGCATAGCGGGGACAGTCTTGAGGTTCCAAGTCGGTCCAGCGCCACATTCGCAAGTGCCGGACTGCCTTGAAGTGCCGGCCTAACAGACGGATCGTTCATGTTCTTTGGAAGTGTCCGAACAACTTCTTGGGGAATATGGCAAGACTGTTGCCCCAAGGCAGATGAATTGGGCGATGACATCTCTGTTGGCGCACAAGGTCATCACTGTGATGTGTGTGTAGTCATGTATTCAGTACAAAGGTCAAAATGTCGGAGGGCAATACAGACACAGAGTAGACAAGACGGAAACATCATCCTGAAGTTGGACTTCAGTCATCCACCGATCTGCTTGCCCCTCTCTGCAGGCATAGTCGTTGGACGTGTGAAGTGTTGCCATGTCGTCCATCCTGCCTCGGTTCTAAAAAGAGCTACAGTACCAGCACATGTCAGCGAGGACAGCCCGTGGCGTGGGTTGGAAGTGAAAGGCTCTTTAGCAGAGCACGGCTGCGCCCGGGGCTCGGCTATGGTGATTCCAGCAGCTGTCTACTTAGCCTGAGAATTCGGCACATCCGAGTACTTCCTTTGGAATACCAGTCCCAGCTTGGTGCAGTCCAGATGACGAGGTCAAGCTGCTGGAGTTGATGAAGTCAGGCCAAGTTCTTGTTGTCTGTTGACCTGGCAGGGTCGTCCTTGATCCGTCATTCTCCAGTCGTCCAGCTTATACCTGCAGGAATGGCTGTCGGCAAGTTCAGCGAGGCACCACATGCCTGAATTCCTCCAAGCATCACGGTAGTAAGAGCAGAGGGATGTCATGCTTTGCTCGGGCTTGACGCTTTGCGGACACAGCAGCACGACAAGCTCTCTGGTATGTCCGAGTTCCGGGCACCTTCAACAAGCACTCGTCTCTACTGTGAACCTGTTATCAGGTGCACGAAGAGGAATTCGCGAAACTCATGGACAATCTGCACAGGCTCGAGTTGCCTTGCTGATGCAGCTTCGCTCAACTAGCTCTCCCCGAGCCAACAGCTTTCCGTGCGAGTGCCATTGTACCTGTAGGGTGTCTGCGCTCCGCACAGCAGTCATTCAGAACAGGCTGTACATGGACATCTTCGAGCGCCGTGGTCAGGAGACTTCGGTGCCGCTTTACACTAAGTTGAACTGAAAAAGAATTGCCCAGTCCCCCCTGCGAAAGCATCACTTGAGTAGACAATCGAAGTGTCCCATATAGACACCGGCATCAGTTTCAGAAGTTCGGGGGGAAGCCATCCGACAAGCACAGCCTTTTCAAGCCCAGGCTTTTTAAGAGCAGGAGTGGCCTCCAAAGGAGCATCTCGGTAGGATCACGGAGCAAAGGGGTGCACCTGCACCAGCGACCACCCTGATCTGTGCTTCGCCCCGTGCTGCTTCCAGACTTATTGGTATCTCTCCATTTCAGCTGTCCTGTGCCTAGCTTATGAAGCTTGGAAACTAACGAGTGACAATCAGTCTTGGTTCAGCTAGCACAACTGCGTCAAGTTGCTGAGACCTTCATAAAGAGGGAGCTGTGCAACATTCTGCAAGCTTCTTAGCACTCTTACACATCCGGGATGGAACCGGCCGTGTCACTGCGATTGGCGCCTCCTCGGGGCGAACTTCCTGTGGTAACGACACAGCGCGCTGCATCTGTTCTGCGACCGCTTCTGGAAGACATTGTACATTTCCGGGATGATGCTGCGATCTGCCGCTGGGACGAGTGATTATGGATGGCATGTGCATTGCATGCTTCATAGTCCCAACATTGAGGTCCCAGTTATGCAGCCTTGACAGTGGCTGCCAGTTCAGGGGCACGCTTTCGGAGCAAGGTTCGCCGGTGCGCAGCACCAGCGCTCAAACGAGTTGTGAAGGAGAACACGAAGACGAAGATGGCAACCACAAACCTTTGGGGTGTCGTGATATGTGCGCCCATCTCGAAAGGGAAGTGGTGGCAATTTTGGAAACCAGCGTCATGGCTTCACTTTACGGGCAAGCATGTTCCTCCGTTCATGAAAATGAGCTTGAAGCATCAACCTACTTGTAGCACGATTCTACCCTCTTTAGCATTTGTGCTTCTCTCTCCATCTCGCAGCTTGATGTGAAGGTCCTGATTCGGATGGGTCTTCGCACCTTCTCGGTCCAGAAGTTCGCCGAAATGCTGAAAGAGGCGCTGCCAGACATCCTGTCCCCGGAGAAGGCGCAACGAGCTGCAGGGGAGCTGGTTGAGAGCGCACCCTGGCATTTTGACTTTCATGTTGCACCGCGGCCTCTTGCTTCGCGTCGCAGCGACGCCAAGTAAGGCCTTGGTCGGCGAAATTGGGAGGGCTGTGGTTCTCGGGGATTCACGAGACAAAGCGTATCGATGCCGCGATCGTTTGCAAGCCATGCTTCCGGACCTTGAGGCTCAGCGCTTGAATAGCACAACGGGTATAGCTGCCTAGGCTGTGGTCTAGTGCCGCGAAATCACGACTTTACTAGCCTCGTGGAGCAGGTCCTGGTGGAACCACTGCCTTGAGATGATGCTTGATGTAGCATTCGGGTAGAGTAGTGCTCCTTCCAGGCCAAAGACTAAGCCTGAGGAGTGCCTACGCTTGACTGTGAGAAACAGCGCTTCTGGCATGCTGCCCGCATGAGACTCGGCATCTGTGCAACCAAGTGCTGACGATGATGAAGTCCCCTGTCCAAAGGAGCTGCTGAAGGGTGCCATTCAGTCAGAGTGACTCGGCGGGTGAATGGCAGAGGGTGAAATGTTCCTAAGCCTTGCGCTTCGGTTTGCTTTCGAGTCTCAGCCGGTCGCGTCTTCGACTAGGGACCTAACAGCGGTCTGGCAGGTTGGTCTGAATGCAAAGATGCTGACCTCTGTTTGCACTGCAGCTTGGAAATCCTTGTTATGACAGCGAGTCGCGCGGCAAATGATAGGTTGGATGTAATCTACCTCCTTCCGGAAAGTGGTGGCCGCTTCCCCGATGGATCCCGAGTTCTCCTCCAGGCTTCACATCAGTGTCGGCTTTCTCTTGCAAGTGGTTTGTCGGGAATTGCGGGCGGCTCCTCAGCGCTTCTCGTGGGCTCTGGCACTGCAGGACTTGTCAGCCAGAGCAGATCTCAACGGCAAAGCAGGCAAGATCGTGGCATGGGCAAACCCGTCCTGTTTCAACGGCGCGGCTAGCCTTGACATATCAAGGCCACACAATATCACCGGTGTCTCATGTTGCTGATGCTGACGTCACAGTGCAACCATCACGGTGCAGCCTTGGAGCAACCGCAGCTTGTATCAGAAGCACGCATCCTCGGCGGTGTCGCAAGGGCCGGACTCGAAGATGGCTCAAGGTTGACTTACGTCTTACGTATACCTCTAGATAGGTAGGGGAGCTTTCGAAACCAGAGCCATGTTCACGCCAGTGGAGTCCGCCATCGGCGGCATGCTTATTGGGCTCTCAGCTGCGATCTCCTACTTGGTGCTCATAGCTGCACACTCTAAACCCATGTCCAACCCTAAACCCTAAACATCCATCAAAAAAACACATCCCTCACACTAAGACCTTGACCGGATAACCTGTTTGCATTCCCAGAACTGCTCGAAGGTGGATGGCAGGATTGCTGGAGTTGCCGGCATCCTTGGCCCTTTCCTTCGTGGAGTGACTCAGTGCCAGCCACTGAAGGATGGCCAGCTGTGGAAGATACTTTTTCTGCTTGGCTTAGTTCTGGGAGGCATGATTGCCATGGCCTGCAATCACGACTTCTCATTTCCTCAAGCAGCGCCCTTCCATGTCGTCCGTTATATTGCAGCAGCGATTTTTGTCGGGATGGGCACGCGTATAGGAAAAGGCTGTACTAGTGGACATGGTATCTGCGGACTTCCCAGATTCTCATCAAGGAGTTGGGTTGCGGTGCCGACATTTATGGGTTGTGCGATAGGTACAGTTGCCCTCACACGGCATGCTTTCAAGTGGGACCAGCCCGGACCATGGGCACTTGCTGAGCTGCAGTGGCCTCCCAAGTGGGAGTTTCCCGTTGCTTCCTTGGTGGCCTGTGTTTTGCTGACGGGTCTTATGATCCTCCTTCCGATGCCTATTCGCAGCTATGCTTCACCGACGCTTGCGGGGATCATCTTCGGCGACTTGATCAATCCAGGGTATCCGTGCTGTGTTTGTGTTGGTGTGTGCGCACAAGTTTCAAACCCATTCAACGACTCTGCGCGGATGAGACATGTACACATGAGTCCAGAAACGACGAATGTGCAGACGAAGGGAATGTTAAGAAACTAAGACAACACTCGGAATATCACTAAGGAGGTAAAGAAAAAGCTACCCAACGAACACCCGCAGGACGTACCGAGTGACAGCCAGAGCGAATCAGCGAATGCATCACCCCACCCCGTTAGTTGCTTCCAGGCTGCGCATTTTTGTGTGACACAGCAGAACTCCCGGTCGTTTTGATATAAGCCATCAGTGCTGCAAGACGCGCCCTGCAACTTGGAGTATCCACTGGCTTGCCGCAAGACACAGCTCTGCCGAACCTGCTGCACTCGCTTAAGCGGCCGTTCGTTGCTGATTCTTAGGCGACAGTTGATGTTTGTCACCTTTGATACTCCCTCCATTCCGAAACCCAAGCCTTTCCTGTCCTCGACCCAGGTGTCGGTTTGGGCTGCGCAGGCATGACAAGCCAAGCGAAGGTCTTGGACTTCTTGGATTTCGGTGGCACCTGGGACCCATCACTGGCTTTCGTGATGGGCTGTGGCATCCTGGTGAGCGGCCCAGCCTTCCTTTACGCAGAGCGAGAGGCCAGCAAGCCCCTTTGTAGCGACTGCAGCTACGAGAAGCCCCCAAAGCATGGCAACTATCCACAGTTGATCTTTGGAGCCAGCCTCTTCGGGCTGGGCTGGGGCCTGATCGGGATCTGCCCGGGGCCGGCGATTGCTGGCGTCGTTCCTTATCTCGTGGATGGTGACGGCCCAGGCTTCTCCTTTGCCTTCTCGTTTCTGGTGATCTGCATTACGTGGTTGATCACTGTGGCTGTTCTGAAACGACATTGCTTTGGGGTCGTAGGCACCTTTATGCCTGTATGCAATGATCTAGAGTCTAGAACCATGGGCTGGCTGTGCTCCTGTGAGGATCGAGTGGTTGTGAAGCTGGAGAAGGCAGCAGCCGCGCAGGCGCTGCCCACGGCTGCGCAGCCAGCTCCAGACGGGAAGGTCGAGGACGTTCCTGACGTGAAGCAGGCAGCTGGGGTGTTGTGGCCCGGAGACCCCTAAGTACCAAAAGTATATATCGAGCATCTGCACTCTGGAGCATAACTCAATGTCATTCCCTGAAAGGAGACGGAGGATGAGGAAAACGTGGTTTATGAAGCGCAGATCTGATGGACAAGTGAGGATTGAAGAGCGGACAGGTTTTGGTATCTGATGAAACAGTACCGTGGCTCGACATGCTCTACTCAAGCAGCATCTGTTGCTGTATAGTTTCCAGAGCGACTGTGAATGTGCCATTTTGTGTAAAGACCGCTGCGGTCATGTGCAACACATCCGTGGCCACATCGTTTTATAAGCTTTGTCTCGTCAGTGGCTGCCGAAGTTGCAGTGCAGACTGGCACGCTCTTTAAAAGCCTTGGCCTCGAGCTTCGGCAAAGCTTCAGATCCAGGCAAGGGCTTTCGTGCCACTAGATCGTGACGAAGTCATGACTCGTGTTCTGCGCCTCGCCCCGCGCAGGAGTGGCCCATCCATGCTTGGTAGCGGTTTTAGCGGAGGGGTGTTTATGTTGATGAGATTGACAAAAAATATCGCGTCTTTCTCCGCTCCTGCATCTTCGGTTGTCAGTGTTTGTGTGTGTGTGTGTGTGCATGCCTCTGCCAGGATTTTGCACTTCAGCGCTACACTGTTGAGATTGAGAAAGAAGAGAAGAAGAAGGAGAACTCAATTCAGCACATCGCAGAGTGATTGCCAGGGCAAGCAGACAGTAGGTCTTCACACTTCCGAAGCCGCAAGGATGTCGAAGCTCCTGCGAACCCTGACATGTTCGGTCTCGGGGCCGCCGCCTCAGTCGCAAGGCGTCGGAATGCAGTACCTCGGCCCGGATCTGATATCGCTGTTAGCTGTCAGAGTGCATCTGCTTGAGATGGCCAAACAGGATGTGGAAGACGAAGAAGAGGATGATGCGGAGAAAAACCAGCCCCTTGGAAGCACAAGATCCGCCGATGCGGCCGGTTGTATGCTACGGAGTATCAAGCACTCGTAAGAGCCATGTTCGCTTGGCAAGACTTGCTTGCTTACCACTTCCAAGGATCGAGTTGGCAGTGCCCAAGAAGCTGATGGTCGCATCCTTAACCTGTACGACGCGAAATGACAGTCCACCGGCGCCTCTCCGAAGGTGCTGCCCAAGAACGTGTTGGTAGACTTAAATCCTCCAAAGAGCCAGCTGGAACGTGTGACGCTCAGCTAAGACACCATGAGACATCGACACCTCCATTTTGAGAAGCTCAGGCCTCGTGAAGGACTGGAACGTCTGGAGGAAGCGGCCGCGATCTGTCAGTGCGAGCCAGGCCAGAGCCCGAGTGGCCATCCCACCGAATGGATGTTCGGATTCCTATGTTGTTGAAGTCTGCGAGAAGTCCATCGTACTGCTCCCCGCACCTCCCCACGATACTTCAATCCCTTCTCGAAGTAAAACCCGCCAGAATTTGCACAACTGGTTTACAAGAAGAACTCATGATTCACCCGTGATGTGTACTCCTGAATCGGGGTTGCAGGATGCAGAAGCTGTGGCCGCTGCTTTGGGTCCGCCCTTGGAGTGCGAATCTCACGGGTCCTTGCTGGCCAAGAATCCTGGAACAAGTCTGACACCTGTCCCTGTCTGTGACTAGGTCCATGGCGAACTTCCTGCAGGATGCCACACAAGCAGTCGGCACCGGGTGCGCGGAGACAGTGCCGAAACCCAGCAGTTCCAACAGCAGATTGCTTTCTGTCTCCGCAGGTTAGCTACTGGCCGGGATGGCGCCGAGCTCATCGCCGACGAGTGCAGACAGGTGACTGGGACGGTGCTGCGTCAGTTCTGCTTTCATTCCCTTCGTTTCGTTGTGAATCCAGCTAGTGAAATAAACCTCTGGTTGGGGACGTGATGCAATGTGGCAAATCGAGAGAGGGTCGCGTGGAGCCATCAGTATCAACAGAGTCTACCGGTAGAGTTGATGCGAACGTCGGGTATGAACATTGATGTGTAGACAATACCTGAAAGAGTACACCCATTTGCTAGCACGCCAGGCAATCTCGATCCAACAGAACATTACGAATGTTTTACCCGCATGGTCCATGTCAGTGAGCGAACAGCAGGTGAACAAGGGGAGAGGCTCTGACATACCCTGGACTTGGCCATGCAGTGTATGTCAAGGTGCAGCAGTGTAGTACAACACAGTTTTGACGAGACGAGCCACACGTACTATGTCGCGACGGTTGCGAAGCATGTCACGAGATCATCAACTCATGTACCCTGCAACACAGCACGACTTGTCGTGGTTCGGTGTATTTTCTTAAAGCATCGCGATGTATGCAAGTACGTAAACATGTCTGTGCTCACGTGTTGCAGTGCATATGTATGTGTATATGCATAGCATGTGCTTGAGCAGCCCGGCCTGTATGCATGTACACATGTAATCATGTAATGTATGTATGTGCATGTGGATGTATGTTCTGTAATTGTACTTCGTGTTTTGGTTCTCTGGGGCAGGCTTTTTGAGCTACATTGCTATAGTTTTTATCGGACATCATGAAAGCTTTCTCAGCGGTGGCTCCGTCATGATGTGAGGTGGCTTGCCAGTTCAGACGGTGCAAGTCATTGAGTAGTCGAAGCTTCCAGAGGCTCTTTCCAACGCCCGAAACCTCGCAGCCAAGCTGCTGGGTGAAGAGCCGCAGGCCAGCAAAGGTCTTGGATGCTTTGGGAGTTTGCTGAAAGCTCGACTTGTGTCCGGGATCATCCCGTGATGGGCCAGTCCCACTCTCGTTCATCTTGCTTGTCGGAAGGAGCCTCCGAAGCCGCCGCCTTTGAACGAGCCAGCACCGGCTTTGGCGACGAGCTGAGACGACAGGCCTTTGGTCGCAGGGCGGATTGTGCCACCTTTCAGAGCGGCTTGTGATACTCAAAATGAAAGTTGGAGCAGGACAGATCTCTGTCTAAGATCATTGCCAAATGTTCTCATGCACTCGCACAACGGAACACACACGCACCTGCATATCTCTGAGTCTCTGAAGCACGGAGAATGGTGGTAAATATGAGACATTTGCTACGCTGCAGCTTTCTAAGGTGCCGTTCCAGGGCGAGACAGTGTCTCAGGCAGGCATTCAATCTGTGACACATACGATAGAACAAAGGGTTTGGCACTCACTAATCTTTTCTACAGATTCTGCTGCTTCCGGTTGTATTTCAGTCAAGAGCAGGCTTTGAAAGAAGCAGCCGAAGTTGCACAAGCCAGCATCGAACTGAACAAGGCCCTCTCGCACGCAGATGGTACAGTTCCTCACACAGCGTGTGCGGCATCATAGTTTGTAGGACAAGAAGGAGAAGAAAAGGCAGGAGTTTGCGACGTTTCTGGTGCTTGTGTTGTGATGATGGATGCGGGACAGCTTTGCTCCAGCTTCTCTGCTGAAACATCCTGAACTCCTTCAGATCGCGATCCAGAAAAAGACGACGCAAGAAGTCTTCGTCAACGCCTCAGATGTTGGCTTTGGTCATGGCATCGGCCGAGCATGAGTCTTTCCCGCTCTTAAGTGGCTGTTGGCCAAGCTCGTGCTCCAGGTCGAGCTCCAGCAGCGGCAAGAAGAAGAGGAAGAGATAGGCCGATTTTGCGGTTTGTGTCAGTACCATAGCAGCGGAGAAAAAATGTCCGGAGCGGCTGCTCGAAATAGAGGAACTTACTGCATCCGTCGGCATGATGCCAGCCATGATTCCGAGTTGTTCTGAATCATGTTCCTTACATGTTCCTCATTGTACCACAGGGAAGGTATTAGAAATCCTACCTTCTAGAGTAGTATGTATGCTTGCGTACGGATTTTGACAGGAAGGCTGAATCAGAACTCGGACCAGCCCACCCTCAACACGCTCGCCGATACCGTAGACACTACATTGCCAGCCGTACTTTTTCTCACAGCTTCTGCCACAAGTTGAAGACCGGCGTACCTGAAAGTATCAGCATGTCCTCATCTTTTTGCTCTGCGCAGGAGTCGTTTTTACAAGCTAAGTCCTGTGAACATGTTGGTTGTTTAATGTACAGTTAAAGTATGACAGCAGCAAAGTTGTTGCTCAGCAGCAAATACACTGGCACCAAATCTGTCACCGTCTTGGTATCAAGCTCACATGGAGATGCTTGGCAGCTTCCGGTGTAAGTGATGTCAATATCAATTGCTAGCCGCCTGTGTCTGCCCAGCGCCTCTTGAGAAGGAGTCGAAGATGAGATAATCTGTAGCCTAACATGTCCTGTTGCCGCTAGGGCAATGCATGGATGAGCTCCCCATTGTCAGGGTGCATGCGTGCGTGCGTGCGTGCGTGCGTGCGTGCGTGCGTGCGTGCGTGCGTGCGTGCGTGCGTGCGTGCGTGCGTGCGTGTGTGTGTGTGTGTGTGTGTGAGTGTCTGAATGTATGTATGCATGCATGGATGTACGTCGTATGTATGTACTTCATGAGATGCAAGGTACTGTACTGCGCTGAAATGCAGCAGAACAGTCTAGGGCCATGCAGTGTGACTAGTGCCATGTACTGTAATGTGTCCAAAAAGATAGACAGGTAGCGAGATAGCCAGATGTACACGAAAACGTGTTGTTTGGCAGCGAGATTTGGCAGCCGAGGACCTGGCGGGAAGTGGACGGCTACGCTTGTACATCGCCTCAGGGTGCAGATTTATCTGGTCTCGGCGTCGATGACTTGCGGAAGCTCATCGACCGAGAGGGTCTTGGCGTCAAGAAGAATGTAGGTGGGGCTGGCAGACGGACCTTGGACGACATGCGAAGAGAGATGCTTGGCCAATTGTTTGGGCTGCATGTCTTGTACCGTTTCTTTACGCCAAGCACCCACGAGTTTCCTCTAAGCATCAGGTTAGCGTTTAATTAGGTTTCCGTGTTATACTCAGGATCCAGCAAGCCCGTGCAAGACGGAATGGCATGGATTCTACTCTGGCTGCATCCTCTTCCTCGAGCACGGGGCTCCGCACCTTACAGCCTCAGAGCCTGGGAGCACGATGGTCGTTAGCAGTGGTCATTGTCGTGTCGCCCATGAGCTTTTGTAGCTTCAATCCTCCACGTTAAGCAGCCTTGTGTGATCACTACTCAGGATGGGGCCCTCGGTGCATTCCACACCCGCGCTCTCGCCAGCCAGCACAGAG